GGGGGCAGCGCTTGAGGCTGTGCACGGTCCTGGGACTCGGATTCGTGACCCTTCATGGCGGGGAGGCAGCCATCAGCGCCCAGGAGTGACTGTGCAAGATCCGCCTCCTGGCCCAGAAGGTGCAGGATCGCAGGGACAGCCACCATGGCGGGCCAGACTGACGTCTGGCCGCACCATGGGGGTTTGCGGATCTGCAAAGCCAGAGGCCTCCGGTGTGCACATCCCCCCTGGCATGCGAACATCCCCCAGCACACTGTCACCCTCCCGTGCCTGCAACAGTTGCAAACCAAGGCGTGCACAAGTTCCCCCCGCCTTTCCACCGCACTTCCATCAACCCGGCATGCCTAACACCCCCACAGGATGTGCACACATCCCCTCTGATGCGCTCACATCCTTTGGAGAGTGTCTGAGTGTTCTGGGTGCTGAGAGTGGGCGCCTGTGAGATGACAGTGAGAGGGAGGAGTGGTGATGCCCTGTTCCCACGGAGGCCAGTGCAGCTACAAGATCACCTCTGGGGAGTTAATGCAGGTGCTGAGGTGGGAGCAGGTGCAGACAGACACACCTGGTGGGTGCGGGCGGCCCTCTCTGAGGTGCCTTCGGTCAGCGTTCAAGATCAAGAGCCCAGAGGCGGAGAGGAATTCCGTCCTCTCAGTGAAACAGTGGGATAGTCAGGGCGACTGTAGAGGAGGAATGTGCACTTTGGGTGCCAGCACCCATAAGTGAAGGCTGCCCTGACTGAGCCTTGCTTGCTTGGGGCCTAGAGCACTCCTGCCGGGCAACAGGTGACAGGACATGCTTTTCCGAATTAATGAGAGAAAATGTTGATTCTCCTGCTGCCCACAAAGGTGGAAAGTGAAGTGGGGAGACATGTGGGGAATGAGCAAGGTTCCCTGTCTGGGGGTTCCAAATCTGCTGTTGGTTTCTTTCACCACTGACTAGAGATATACAGGGTGTCCCCCCAAAATGTATACACACTTTGAATACCTACTAATTCTAATGGTTTTAAGCATAAGAAAGGAACAACAATGGAGCTGTTATCTGTTAAAAGTGTGGGCACAAACAGATAGTTGGACATTCCCTGAGGGGTCTCAGATTGGAGAGGGTGAAGGCCAGACTGAGGGGCCCCTTCTCCCCCCCTACCCCAGTGCACAAATTTCGTGCACCAGGCTACTAGTCCTATCTAACAATAGACAAACATGGTAATTGACTGTACCTTTGCTATGCCTCCCATTGGCTAATCAGCGTGATATGCAAATTAACCTCCAACAAAGATGGTGGCTAATTTGCATACTGCAGGCAGGGTGGGACAGCGTGAGCCGCCAGCGTGAGCCACCATCCAGGCCCCCGTGTATGACCCCAGAAGCCGCCTGCCTGCCACCCGTGATCGGATCCGATCCCGGGCCGCAGGCCGGCCACGGAAGTCCCAGAAGCTGCCTGCCTGCCGTCCATGATTGGATCCAATCCCAGACAGCTGGCCAGCCATGGAAGCCCCAGAAGCCGCCTGCCTGCCGTCCATGATTGGATCCAATCCCAGGCCACAGGCCGGCCACGGAAGCCCCAGAAGCCGCCTGCCTGCCGTCCATGATTGGATCCAATCCCAGACAGCTGGCCAGCCATGGAAGCCCCAGATGCCACCTGCCTGCCGTCCATGATTGGATCCAATCCCAGGCCTCAGGCCATCCCCAGAAGCCCCAGAAGCCACCTGATATGGCAGTAACTCTATCAGTAAGCACTCTGAAAGTCAGTGGCATACATGCACCAATTAAAGGACAGATGAGGGTGAATAAAAACAAAACCCACTTTAAATATAAAGACACATATAGATTAAAAGTAAATGAATTAAGCTGCAGCCTGTTTTGCCCAGTGGATAGAGCATTAGCCCGTGGACTGAAGGGTCCTAGGTTTGATTCCAGTCAAGGGCATGTACCTCAGTTGCTGGCTTGATCCCCAGTCCCTATCAGAGCATGTGCAGGAGGCAACCAATCAATGTGTCTCTCCCTTTCCCTTCACTCTCTCTAAAATTCAATGGAAAAATATCCTTGGGTGAAGATTAACAAAAACAAAGTAAATGGATTAAGTAACATTAAAGAGATTATAAGAAAAATATATTCCAAACTTTGTTAGTTGTATAATGGTTATGTTTAAATTATTAACATCTAAGAAATTGGGTGAAGGGTACATATAATATGCTGTAGTATTTTATAGTTTTTTTACATGTATGAGATTATTTCAAATTAAAATATTAAAACATTAAAAATGAATAAAATATTAATTGAAATGTATCTGCATTACATGAAAAATCTCCTAATTGCTTCTAGCATAATTTATTAAATTGTGCTAAAATTTACAAGGGTTCAATTAAAAAATATCTTAATTCTAAATGATATAATAGAAAATATATAATAGTGCAGTTATAAGCACTTATCTGCAAATAAAAATTTAAGGAAGTGAATTTAAAGAAGGGATTAGCCACAGAAAATATATGCACAACCCATGGACACAGACAACAGTATGGTGATGGCCAGAGAGAAGTGGGGGGCAAGAGCTGGGTAGAGGGGGCAAAAGGGGGGAAATAGGGACACACTATATAATAATAATAAAAGGCTAATATGCAAATTAACTGAACGGCAGAATGACCGGTTGCTATGATGTGCAGTGGCCATCAGGGGGCAGATGCTCAATGCAGGAGCTTCCCCCTGGTGGTCAGTGCACTTCCATGTGGGGAGTGCCACTCAGCCAGAAGCTGGCTCATGGCTGGCCAGCGCAGAGGTGGTGGCAGGAGCCTCTCCCACCTCCATGGCAGCACTAAGAATGTCCAACTAACAGTTTAGACCCAATCCCTTGGAGGCCTAAGCCTTTAGTCGGACATCCCCTGAGGGCTCCCTGGCTGCCAGAAGGATGTCTGACTGCAAGCTTAGGCCTGATCCCCCAGGGAGTGGGCCTAAGTCGACAGGTGAACATCTCCCAAGGGGTCCTGGACTGCAAATGGGTGCAGGCCGGGCTGAGGGATCCCCCTCCCCCCGCCCCGAGTGCACAAATTTTTGTGCACCGGGCCTCTAGTCAATAATAACCCTAAATGTAAATGGATTAAATGCTCCAGGCAAAAGTCATAGGGTAGCTGAATGGATTTAAAACCTGACCCAATTATATTCTGTCTACAAGAGACCCACCTCAGAACAAAATACATACACAGGATGAGAGTGAAGGAATGGAAAATTTTTTTCCATGCAAATGGAAAAGAAACAAAAAAGTTGGAGTAGCAATACTCATATCCAACAAAATAGACTTTAAAATCAAGGCCATCACAAGAGACAACAAAGGTCACTATATTAATAATAAAGAGATAGATCCAACAAGAGGATATAACCCCGGTAAACATACATGCACCCAATATAGGAGCACCAAAAAAAACAACAAAAAGCCAAAACCAAAAACAAAACAAAAAACCCTACCAAACAAAAAATACTTCTAGAGGACTTTAACTGAGAGATCGACAACAATACAGTCATAGTAGGGGACTTTAACACCTCACTGATTTCACTGGTTAGATGTTAGAGAAAAAAAACTTAACAAGAAATCAATGACTCTAAAAGACACACTGGATCAGATGGATTTAATTGACATTTATAGAACATTTCACCCCAACACAGCAAACTATACATTCTTGTCAAGTGCACATGGATCATTCACAAAGACAGACCACTTGATAGACAGAAAGCAATTCTTTACAAGTTGAAGAAGATTGAAATCATATCAAGCATCTTCTCAGATCACAGTGGAATGAAAATAGAGATCAACTACAGTAAAAATACCCCAAAACATTCAAGAATATGGAGACTAAATAGCATGTTATTAAGCAATGAATGGGTTACCAAAGAGACCAAGAAAGAAATAAAACAATTCCTGGAAACAAATGAAAATGAACACACAACAACCCAAAATCTCTGGGACACAGAAAAGCAGTCCTGAGAAGGAATTTCATAGCACTACAGGCATACCTCAAAAAACAAGAAAAGTCAGCAATAAATTATTGAACCCTACAACTTAAAGAACTAGAAAGAGAACAACAAGAAAAGTCCAGGGTAAGTAGAAGGAAGAAAATAATAAAAATTAGAGCCGAAATAAATAACATAGAGATTATATATATATATATATATATATATATATATATATATATATATATATATCAATGACACCAAGAGCTGGTTCTTTGAAAGGATAAACAAAATTGATAAACCATTAGCCAGACTCATCAAGAAATAAAGAGAGAGGACCCAAATAAATAAAAATAGAAACAAAAGTAGAGGAGTAACCACTGACACCACAGATATACAAAGGATTGTAAGAAAATACTATGAAAAACTATATGCCAACAAGTTGGACAATGTGGATGAAATGGACAAATTCAAATTCCTAGAAAAATACAATCTCCCAAAACTAAATCAGGAGGAATCAGAAAACCTGAATAGACCAATAACAACTGATGAAATAGAAGCAGTAATAATAATAATAATAATAATAAGCTCCCAGGAAACAAAAGCCCAGGACCAGATGGATTCACAGGGGAGTTTTACCAAATATTCAAAGAACTAACACCTATACTCCTCAAACTATTTCAGAAAATCCAAGAGGAAGGGACAGTTCCAAACTCTTTTTATGAGAACCGCATTATCTTAATTCCAAAACCAGATAAAGGCACTACAAAGAAAGAGAATTTCAGGCCAATATCTCTGATGAACATAGATGCTAAACTCCTCAACAAAACATTAGCAAATCACATCCAGCAATATATTAAAAAGATCATAAACCATGACCAAGTGGGATTTATTCTGGGGATGCAAGGCTGGTATAATATTCATAAATCAATAAATGTGATACATCACAAAAACAAATTGAAAGACAAAAATCACAGGCTCACATCAATAGACGCAGAAAAAGCATTCAACAAAATTCAACACCCATCTATATATATATAAAACCCTAATATGAAAATAGACCATATGGCGAAACAACTGGTCGCTACGACGTCTGATGACCACCAGGGGGCGCGCATGGAACATAGGAAGGTGTCAGTGGAGGGCGATGGCAGCAGGCGGCAGAGCACAGGACATGGCAGATGTCAGCCGCAGTGGGATGGTGGTGCAGGTGACCGGGAGTGCCAGACCAAGGTGGAGTGCTGGTCACTGTCATCAGGGTGAACCTCTAGTGGTTACTGAAAATACTTTGCTCCCATGCACCGTGGTCCTGCCCGGCACTTGCACCTGCTGCCAGTGCTGGCCCTGCTCGCACCTGCTGCTGGCACCAGAGCCACCACTCACATCCTCTGCCAGTGCCGGCCCCAGTTGCACCCACTGCTGGTACCAGCCCCAATCGCTCCATGCCATCAGTGGGTGGGGGTGGGGCTGGTGCCATCAGCACGTGGGAGCAGTGGTGGCAGAAGCGGGGCTGCCGGAATATAGGGAACCCAGGGCAATAGTGGGAGGGGCCGGGGGGATGCAGAGGATGGGCCAAGTCCTGTCCCTGTGCCCACCGCAGCCTCATGACCCACAGTTCCCTTCAAGGTGCACAAATTCATGCACTGCACCCCTAAACTCTCAGCAAAGTGGGAATAGAGGGAGAATATCTCAACATGATAAAGGCCATATATGACAAAGCTATAGCCAACATCATACTTAATGGTCAAAAACTATAAGCATTTCCTCTAAGAACAGGAACAACACAGGGATGTCTGCTTTCACCACTCTTATTCAGCATAGTACTGTAAGTCTTAGCCACAGCGATCAGACAAGAAGAAGAAATAAAAGGCATCCAAATTGGAAAGGAGGTAGTAAATTCTCATTATTCGCAGATGACATGATATTGTATATAGAAAACCCTAAAGACTCCACCAAAAAAATATTAGATTTAATAAATTAATTTGGCTATGTAACAGGATACAAAATCAAGAACTCAAAAACTGATGGCTTTTTTATACACTAATAATGGATTCTCAGAAAAAGAAACTAAAAAACTAGCCCAGAGGTAAACACCGGAAATAGCTGCCTCGCACAACAACTTCAAAAATACAACTAAAAGACAAAACAGACATCATCCAGAACCACAGGAAGGCTGGATCAATGGAAATTCTACAACGAGAAGGAAAGGGAAAAGCACACTGAGACTCAGAGGAGGTGTGGAAGGAAAGTGCAGAGGTATGGAGGCTCGAGCATGCGTGGAAAGGGGCTGGCAACGAAGGACGCGGTGTCTTTTGCAATCGGGAGGGAGGCACAAGCTCCCGACGGCCCTGACTCCAGTTCCGGACACGTCTCTGGGGACCCAGACTCATATGGGGAGAAACTGGACTGTCTGGAATCGGTCGGCTTTCTCTCAGAGGTGCTTGAAGCGATTACCGGGAAACTGAGACTTGGGGTCTCTTAGGGTAGGACTGAGGAGCAGCCATAGCTGCTTGCTCCACCCTGTTGATCCCCTGATACCTCACCCCACCCAAGCTGTGCGCAGAGGCTTTTGCATATGAAAGGCCTGGCCCTTTGCAATCTGAAAATTACCTAACAAACTGCAGCTGGGTCAGAGAGACCCAGAACTTCGAAAAGAAGGTCCAAGGCCCCACAGCAGCTTGCATTGCTTCACAGCTGGGCCTCATCTGGGCACCTCCAAACCCCAAACAAAGAAGAGGAATCTGCAGATCTCTCCATAGCTCCTGCTGCGTAGCCTCAGGCAGAGGCTAAATTAGCACCTCTTTAGATCCAAGAGCCAGTGTACCCAGTGGTCAGAGTGGGACCATCCAGATTACAACTCCTCAGATCCGTGAGGGACACACTAAGGGGGCAGACTCAGTGAGCACCAAAGCCCCACTGAAGCAAGTCTTGCCGCAGAAGGGTGTCTCCAGCACAGAAGTTCTCCCACTGCAGACACAGCTGATTCTCACAGCCAATTGGCCTGGAGGTTAATTCCTCCCAGTGATACCTACAACAATCAAGGCTTAACTACAACAAGACTGTGCACAAAACCCACAAAGGGGTGCACCAAGAGTGTCCACCTCAGGTAATTGGGGAGGCTGAGCCACTGGGCCCTATAGGACACCTAGCACAGAAAGCCACTCTATCAACACAGGGAAGCATAAAAAATGGGGAGACAAAGAAACAGGTCACAAATGACAGAAATGGAGGAAAGCAAACTACTGGCTATAGAGTTCAAAACCACACTTCTAAGGTTTTTCAAGAATTTTCTAGAAACCGCCAATAAATTTAGTGAGACCCTCAAGAAATCTAGTGAGACCCTCAAGGTTATGAACAAGGACCAACTAGAAATTAAGCATACACTGACTGAAATAAAGAATATTATACAGAGTTCCAACAGCAGACTAGAGGATTGCAAGAATCAAGTCAAAGATTTGAAATACAAAGAAGCAAAAAACACCCAACCAGAAAAAAAGAAAAAGAATCCAAAAATATGAAGATAGTGTAAGGAGCCTCTAGGACAACTTCAAGCATACCAACATCCGAATTATGGGAGTGCCAGAAGAAGAGAGAGAGCAAGATATTGAAAACCTATTTGAAGAAATAATGACAGAAAACTTCCCTTACCTGGTGAAAGAAATAGACTTACAAGTCCAGGAAGCGCAGAGAACCCCAAACAAAAGGAATCCAAAGAGGACCACACCAAGACACATCATAATTAAAATGCCAAGAGCAAAAGACAAAGAGAGAATCTTAAAAGCAGCAAGAGAAAGAAAATCAGTTACCTACAAGGGAGTACCCATACGACTGTCAGCTGATTTCTCAACAGAAAGTATGCAGGCCAGAAGGGAGTGGCAAGAAATACTCAAAGTGATGAATACCAAGAACCTACAACCAAGATTACTTTACCCAGCAAAGCTATCATTCAGAATTAAAGGTCAGATAAAGAGCTTCACAGATAAGAAAAAGCTAAAGGAGTTCATCACCACCAAACAAATGTTATATGAAATGCTGAAAGGTATCCTTTAAGAAGAGGAAGAAGAAGAAAAAGGTAAAGATACAAATTATGAACAACAAATACACATCTATCAACAAGTAAATCTAAAAATCAACTGAATAAATAATCTGATGAACAGAATAAACTGGTGAATATAATAGAATCAGGGGCATAGAAAGGGAGTGGACTGACTATTCTCACGGGGGAAAGGAGTGTGGGGGTGCGGGAAGAGACTGGACAAAAATCGTACACCTATGGATGAGGACAGTGGAGGGGGAGTAAGGGCAGAGGGTGGGGTGGGAACCGGGTGATAGGGAGCTATGGGGGGAAAATGAGGAACAACTGTAATAATCTGAACAATAAAGATTTAATTAAAAAAATAAATTCAAATTGAAAAAAAAAACCAATCCCATTTACCATTGCAACAAAAAAAAATTAAGATACCTAGGAATAAATTTAACTAAGGAGTTGTAAAAGACCTGTACTCAGAAAACTACAGGACATTGAAAAAAAGAGATAGAAGAAGATATAAACAAGTGGAAGAATATCCCATGTTCATGGATTGGTAAAATCAACATCATTAAAATGCCCCTACTATCCAAGGCAATGTACAGATTCAATGCAATCCCTATTAAAATACCAATGGCATATTTCACAGACCTAGAACAAATACTCCAAAAATTTATATGGAATCAAAAAAGACCCTGAATAGCTGCAGCAATTTTGAGAAAGAAAAGCAAAGTTGGAGCAATCATAATACCAGATTTCAAATTATACTACAAAGCCACCATAAGTAAAACAGGTTGGTACTGCCAAAAGAGACATATAGATCAATGGAACAGAACAGAGAACCCAGAAATCGACCCAAGCCATTATGCTCAATTAATATTTGACAAAGGAGGCAAGAGCATTTAATGGAGTCAAGAGAGTCTCTTCAATAAATGGTGTTGGGAAAATTGGACAGATACATAAAAAAAATGAAACTAGACCACCAACTTACAACATAGACAAGAATAAATTCAAAATAAGATAAAAGGCTTAAATGTAAGTCATGAAATCATAAAAATCCTAGAAGAAACCATAGGCAGAAAAATCTCAGACATCTCTTGTAACAATATGTTCACAGATACATCTCCTAAGGCAAAGGAAACTAAGGAGAAAATAAACAAATAGGACTACATCAAAATAAAAAGCTTCTGCACAGCAAAAAAAAAAACCCATCAACAAAATGAAAAGAGAGCCCACTGTGTGAGAGAACATATTTGGCAATGATACATCTGATAAATGGTTAATATTCAAAATATATAAGGAATTCATATAAGTTAACAAAAGGAAGACAAACAATCCAATTAAAAAATAGGCATAGGACCTAAATAGACACTTCTCCAAAGAAGACATACAGATGGCCAAGAGACATGAAAAAATGCTCAAAGTCACTAATAATCAGAAAGATGAAAATCAAATCAACAATGAGGTACCATCTCACACCTATCAGAATGGCTATCATTAACAAATCAACAAATAACAAGAGCTGGTGAGGATGTGGAGAAAAGGGAACCCTCATGCACTGCTAGTGGGAATGCAGTGGGGGTGAGTGGGTGTAACCATTATGGAAAACAGTATGAAGTTGCCTCAAAAAATTAAATATGGATCTGCCATTTGACCTAGTGATCCCACTTCTAGGAATACAACCTAAGAAACCCCGAAACACCAATCAGAAAGAATGTATGCACCCCTGTGTTCATAGCAGCACAATTTACAATAGCTAAGATCTGGAAATAGACCAAGTGCCCATTAGTAGATGAGTGGATAAAAATACTGGTACATTTATACCATAGAATACTATGCAGCAGTAAAAAAAAATAATCTCTTACCCCCTGAGACAGAATGGAGGGTCCTGGAGACTATCATGATCAGTGAAATAAGTCAGTCAGAGAAAGACAAGTATCGCATGATTGCACTCATATGTGGAATCTAAGTAATAAAATAAACTGATGAATGGAATGGATCCAGAGACTTGAAACATGGGACAGAGTACGGAATCTCAGAGGGAAGGCAGGGGAGAGTGGATGGGTGGGAGGTAATCAACCAAAGACCTTATATGCATATATGCATAACCCATGGACACAGACAATAGAGTGCTAAATGCCTGTGGTGGTGGGGGGAGCAGGGGAAGGCTGGGGGCAGGGGTCAATGGGGAAAAATGGGGACATGTAATACTTCAACAATAAAGCATTATTGAAAAATAAAAAGAACTCGCTTAAGGAACAATACTTTGGTAGGTAACTGAAGGGAGCTGGCTGTTTAACCAGAAACACTAGGGGCCTACTTTTGAAAAGCCACCCATTCTTAGCCTATAGCAGTGATTCTCAACCTTCTGGCCCTTTAAATACAGTTCCTCATGTTGTGACCCAACCATAAAATTATTTTTGTTTCTACTTCATAACTGTAATGTTGCTACTGTTAGAATCGTAATGTAAATATCTGATATGCAGGATGGTCTTAGGCGACCCCTGTGAAAGGGTCGTTCAACCGCCAAAGGGGTCGCGACCCACAGGTTGAGAACCTCTGCTCTAGAGTTTGTCCTCCAAGAATAAACTGATTCTTGAATGAATACTTTGTAAACCAGTTTAGAAGCACAAAAGCCATGGACTGAGCCTGCAGCCACATTACCCAAATGAAGGCACCGCCAATGTGGAAGGAAACAACATTCTTGGGCTGTCCTTCCCAAGAACGCTTTGGAGGATAGTGGAGTACAACGCCTTCACGTCTCTGTGCTCGAATGATGACGGAGACACCGTGATCATTGAGGAAAATCTTTTCCAGAGGGAGATTCTTTGCCGAAGGGGCGAGGAACAAACCTTTGAATCAAAAAGCCTGAAGAGTTTCATCCGCTTGTTGAACCACCATGGTTTAAACAAAATATGCCCAGGCAACTCTTCAGTTTGCTTTCCAGGGAACAAGATAATGGTAAAGTAGAAAGTCCTCCCATTTCCTATGTTCCCTGTTACTCAAACATCTTCCTAGTGGACCCAGGAGAAGGATATACTGAAAGGACTTCATTTTAGGGTCTAACCCTTTTGCACATGATACAGTATTTATCAAAAGATGAGAAAGTATAGATTTTCACTTGAAACTATAGCCCCCTTAGAGATAACCTGCAGAAATGAGTAAAGACTCTGAGAGGCCAGTTAATGTATATTTTCTCCACAAGTGACTAAATTAATTAATGTTGTTTCAGATCTACAGAAATTGCAATTTCCAGAGAGGCAAGCCTTGGCTCCTCAAGAACATTAAGACACAAGGCAACCAGGTGATGCGTATTTTTCCAGCGACCAGTGCCACCCCCCCCCAAAGAGAAAGAAGAAGATGGCCCCCACAAGACACTCCCCAAGAATACACCACGAGGACGGCAGCAAAGAAGCTGAACAAAAGGCTCAGGAGACAGGCAAGAATGATTGGGGACCCAATGCCACTCAGGCATTCGAGTTCTCAGTTCCTCAGCCCATGGGCAGTGCCAGGGAGGTCCAGTGTCCAAGTGCAGCAAGTAGTTCAAGTGGGGAGGGCACATCTGGAAATGTCATGTTTGTGCCCAGGGCTACTGCCAGAACCGACGGCACAGGGGATCTGTCCTCCACCCCCCCAAATGAACCACTACAAGTTTCAGTGATGTCTTTGTACAACATCTGCTATTCTACACTGATCACTGGCCTTTCAGTCATGGCTCCATCAGAGGACCCTGACCAGGCTGAGGAGGAGCAGGAGGGCTCCTCAGATAACAAGTGTTCAGTCTGTGAGCAGTTCAAGGACAATGCAGGCCCATAATGTCACAGGCTTTGTAACCATGAATCCATTTCCGCTTTAATAAAGAAAGGCAAAAACTACCTGGTACAAAATAAACAATCCAATGAGAATTGTGAGTCCATGTTCTTCTGTTTCCATGCCATACACCTCATCAGATGAGCCTGAGGAGGCTAGAAATCCTGGCTCCAGGCAGGCTTTTGACCCCATTGTTCTCTTCCATTTTCACACACTCAGCCAAAGATCTGGCTAGCTAGTCCTGAGGCAAGCCCAGGAAGATCTGGTCCCCTGAGCCTTGCCTACTGGACAGGAGACAGAACTGCCTGGCTCCTGACCTTGGCGGAATCACTTTATATTAGTCATGCATCCTGAAACAGGAGGATCTTTACTCATAGGTCCCCCTATGATGCCAGGAAGTTTCTGATCAGCGTCTGAATATCTCTAGCTCAAGTTCCAGGGGCCTTGCAGAGAGGCCCACCTAGAATTCAGGCCACCCCATCTGCTAAGCCAGTGGTTGGAAAACTGTGACTCACGAGCCACATGCGGCTCTTTGGCCCCTTGAGTGTGGCTCTTCCACAAAATACCGACTTCTGCGCATGGGCCACGAAGTTTCAATCTCACTGTACGTGTGTGTCCGCACGTGGTATTTTGTGGAAGAGACACACACAAGGGGCCAAAGAGCCGCATGTGGCTCGCAAGGCACAGTTTGCTGACCACTGTGCTAAGCAGTGTATGACAGAGTCAGTCTGTCTCAGAAGACTTACCATTCCAGTCAATGCTTGGGAGAAAGCCCATCATCCTCACCACTAACAACCATTAGTAACCCTGCTAGAAGGGACCCAAGTAAATTAAAGACTGCTCACACAGAAAAAAAAAAAAAACTCTACCCATCACTTTTCCATCAGAGCTGTATTTCAGATCTATTCTTGGGTCACAAGGTAGCTATGTGACATGTGTAACACAAGCCCTCGTGAACCCAGGGACACTTTTACAACAGACCAGTCACTTGCCAGGAGAGACAGCACTTTGTTTCAAAGTCTGATGTCCCTTTCACCGTGAGTGAGGCCAGGCCTGGCTGGTCACCCTCTGGCAATAATTCAGTGCCCGCTCCCAGACCGCCCACAAGGACCCCTGGGTGCTGCTGAAGTGTTCTCTGAGTTTGACCAGAACAAAGAGACGGGAGTCCCAAACAATAACCACGTCTCCTAAAACATTTTCTCTGTAAAACCCAGGAATGAGCAGGACCAAAAAGAGTGATAGCACCAAGATATTTCCTGACAGCTTTCCCTTTTCCCTAAAGGTCAGAGTCCTTGAGACAGTCAATGAGCCCAGAGGGGCATCTCATCAGGACAGTCGCCTACATCTGGGCACAGAAATCTGTTTACGTGAACAGCAGATGGTGGGTAGTGCTCTCCACGGTGGTGCCAATTCAGTTGAACCTGACTTCTACGTCCAGGGCATGATGGCCTGTTGATGGTCATGATTCAGCTGGATTCTTGGTGACCTTTCTGTGGAGTCCTCCTGCCCCTAGGGGATCAGGTGCTGCGGGATGCCTACCTGGAAGATATCCTTTCCCCCTTTCCTGGGTATGGGCTCCAGTAACCACCTGGGGTTTGAAAGTGCCTTTGGGTACTTCTGCTTCAGGTTGGTCAGTACAGCCTGCTTTTCCAGTTCCACAACCTCAGGAGCCACGTTTACTGGGTCTGCAAAGATTCCCCTATGTCAAGGAGCCCTGGGCACCATAAGAGAAGCACTGAGATGCTTGCCCTTCCATAAACCAAAGACTTCCTGTGAGAGGAAATGGTTATTCAAAGTTAAACCCACTAGAAGCTAAGCTGATTTCACCAAAGGGACACAGAGTGAGCTGGGTCCCTCTGACTGAGCACTTCTGATGTGTCAAACTCTGCTCAGGGAATTCTGGGTGAGGCCGAGGAGAGAGAGAAATGAAGAGGACAGAGCCTGGTCCACTAATGGGCAGGTCCCAGCCCGACTGCTGTGGGCAGCACCTACAGGTCAGAACGGCCACAGGTTCAAAAGAAAACAAGCCCCAAACTCCTGAGCAAGGTCCTGGGGGTACTCTTGGAGTGGTCTAAGCAGCTCTCGGGGAGTCATGCCTTGCCAGCGATCACTCCTCTCCCATACTTCTCCCTTCTGGAGCAGAGCCTGAATCTGCATGGGGTTCCACCCCAGCCTCTCCAGCAGCAGCTCCAGACAGAGGGCTCTTCCTAGTCCCTGTGAGCAATGTGTATGGAGATGGTACAGTTTCCATGGCGGCTCACTAGGGTCGCCGAGTCTCCAGAGTCTTGACCCATTTAAGACCAAGCCTGCATAAGGCTGCCAGAAGGAGAGGCAGAAATTCCATCTCCCCAGAGATCCGTGGGCCTTAAGTGCCCTGTGGAAACCCAAAAGTGTGAATGTCAATAAGCATCATGCATCAGCCCTCCATGTTCATGGTCTGTGGGCTGACCTCTCCCCCCACTGTCCCCTGGGGCCCTGGAACCCCACTGACAGGGATGGTGGGAGAGCAGAGAGTGTTGGCTCCTTCTTCCTATCCCCACTCACTCAGCTGTCAGGCCCCATGGAAAGGGTTGGTGATGCAGATGCCCATCCATCAGATGGAGTCTTTGGGGAGCTCAAGGAAGAAGGTGGAGACAGGTAAGGAGAGGCACTCAGCACAGGGTGTGGTTAGTTCCACAGAGGTCACTGAGGCCAGGGGAGCACAGAGGAGGGAGAAAGGGAGCTTTGGCTTCACACCGGATGAGTGGATTCTAGTCCTCTCCCAGCGTAGACGATCCTGGGCTTTGCTTCTTCTCACCATGCCTACCCCCCAATGCTGTCAGCTGCCTCCTCTTTTCACCCCAGGGCACTGCAGTCCCTAGGCATCCCGATCCCTCTTCCAAGGCTTCTGGTTGCAAATTCTTATAATCAAACCTCAGCTGGGCCCTTGGACACCACTGTGTGAGCTTAGATCATCCTGCCAAGTGCCTACACTCAACCACTTTGGGAGCTACATTTCTCAATCCAATGGCTGCACCACTGCTTATGTGCTGTCAGCAGACACTCCTGGCCCCTACTGCAGCCTAGAGAAAGGAATAACAGGACCAGGAACAATTGGCACCAGTACCCACACACCATGCCCATATCAGGCCCTGGGATGGGCATGATCCATGGATCCTAGAATTCAATCCTCAAATAACTGGGTGGGCAGTGCCATTGTCACCACATTCTACAGTTGAGAAGGTGGCACCTAGGGATGAAAAGATGGCCCATGATCTTGGGCCCTGACTACCTCACCCCCTGTTCTTGCCTCTTTTCCTTGTACCTGGGGAAGGGGGTTGTTCCTTCTCAGAGCTGTGCAGTGGCAGGAGCAGAAACTCGGCCTGAAGACTCAGCCGGGTCCTAGTACCTGGCGGAGCTCAGTCTCCACAGGGCTGTGAGTACCTGGCCCCTAAGAGGACAGACAGAACCAGTGGCTACACATCATCATCATAGGGCCTGAGCCTCATTACCACACTCCACATGAGCATCCCCACTCTGCTTGTCTCTCCCCTCCTGTCTTTAAAGGACATAAACCTGATATCAGCTATTATGTCCTCCTGTTTATGAAAACACACCCACTCTCAAAGACCAGGCTCCAAGGACAAAAGCTGCCACCTGTTCACTCTTCCCAACCCAGTGTCCTGACAGTCCCTGTGCCCAGCTCCTCTGCATTCCCTTCCTTTCTCTCTGGCTGGGTCTCCTACCCCTGGGCTCTGTACCCCACCTCTTGCTCACCCCAGGACCTTAAAGAAAAGGACTTTACAAAAGTAATCAAGTTAAAATGAGAGTCTCTTCCAATGACCCATGTCCTCACCTAAAGAGGGAATTTACAGACAGACATGCACACACAAGAACACCTGGTAAAGATGAGGCTGAGACCTACAAGCCAAGGGGTGCCAAAGCTTGCCTGAAAACCACCAGAAGCCTGGGGACAGGGATGGACAGTTTCTCTCTCAGTCCTCAATATAGACAATCTGGGCCCACATTTCCATCTCTGACCTCCAGCCTCTGCAACGGTGAGACAATAAATGTCTGTTGTTTAAGCCACTAGGGCTGTGGTGCTTTGATGTGACCACCCAGGCAAATGGCCACAGAGGCAAAGATCTTTCTCACACATCTCCACAGGGTGGAGAATGGTTTCACCATCTACCGCCCAGAAAATACATTCTTTCACGTCTACATTTGCTTCTAGCCCATATTTTGCTGCCTGCATGGTTTCCCATTGTGGGCCCCAATATTGACTGACTTTCCCCTACTGATGAAGAGTCACAGACTGCTTTGCATTTTCTGCTACTATAAGGGACACTACCACAAACACTCATTGACTGTCGACTTGTTAGGCAGAGGCCTGGGTCACATGCATGCACATCTGAGATGCTCATAGATGCCAGCAAATGGCCTTCCACAGAAGCTCATCCATGTATGCCCTGCCAACCATGGGCCAGGGTGCAATTATCTCATATGCTTGGGGGCTCTGAGCATCGCCACTGTGCTTAACCTTCACCCACCTGCTGAATAACAAAGGATCACCCTGTCATAGGTTTGAATTCTTTATGGCAGAGGCTGGATGTTCCCCTGTGGCCTGGGCATTTGTATTTGTTCTACTGGGGTATATGCCTAGTTTCCACCATGGAGTTTTGGGCCCTATTTTCATCAAAGCCACAAAATCACAATAAGGAGACCGGGTCTGCATGGGTGGCATCCCTAGGGAGAACTGAGGTCACTGTAAAGGCACAAAGGGGGCTGAGTGCCCTCCTACCTAGTGCCTGCTTTGTGGCCTGAGGAAGACACACTCTTCCACTTGCCTTTGCTTGTTCACCTGCATGAGGACAAGAGGGGTAATGAGTCAAGGTCATTAGGGACAAGACAGCAATGTTGGCTAACATACCAGAACAGTCTACTCAACAGGGATTGGAAAACACCAGGACCAAGGAGGTTCCAGATGGTGGGAAACACATGTGGCACCTTACTCAGGGTTTGGTTCT